AGCAAAATGCCAGGATAGTGTTAACCAACTCTGACTACAAATTCATTTCTCAAACCTAATGTTCATCTTTAACAAATCCAAAAGATCTCTTGTCTTGCCCTTGCCATTACTTACGGTCAACTGACATCCAAAGCACTATATGTATACCCTACAAAAGAAAGAAGCTATATTTTGAATAATTCAAGCAAAAATCACTGTTAAGTAAGGCTAAAGCAACCTGTAGAAACACTTATGACACACATATCACTAGTTAGTGATGGTGAACTTTTAGAGCTTCCAGTGATACAAACAGCCTGCTATGACACATATGCCATGGGTTCACCATCACACACTAGAATCAGATCCTTGCACACAGCACATAAGCAAAGACCTCTTGGTCTCTAAACATCATTTATCATTGGGACGAAACCACTAGAACTGATTCGCTGAGCACAGGGCCTAAGAAAAACCAACATGAGGGGCTAAATGAATTTGCAACCCTCTAAAAACACCAAGCCCTGTCCTGGGTGCAAAGTACACTACGGTCACTGCAGGTGTGGTCTCCAGACTCATATCATCATCATCAACACTTAGGAATCTACTAGAAATGTAAATTTTCATCAGGCCATACCACAAGCCAAGGAAATCAGAAACTCTGGTTCGTGTAGGATGAATTATCTGATGCATACTGAGATAGACCATGATTAGGCTACTGCCTAAAGAAGGGTCAAAAGTCAGGCAGATTAAAAAACAAAAACAAAAAAAAAAAAACAGGTAGTAGGCACAAGTGTAAGTGATAGGAACACTTATCCCCAGAGGTACAGAAAACCAGGGCCAGAGAAAACCTGGCATGCTGTAAGAAGAGTGGGTCACAAGTCCAGAGCAGAAGATGAACAGTAGATCACGAAGGTATTAGCAGCAGTAACAAGAGGCAAGGACATCACTCTGAGGACAATTAGAAGCCTCTGAGGGAGAGGACAGATATGCCCTGACCTGCAGAGGATCACCTTGGATGCAGTGCAGAAAAGAAACAGAAAGTGGCCACGGTGAAAGTAACTGCAGGTTTTGTGGTGGGAAGTATCAGCAGAGCAAAGGAAAGCAGAGGCATGTTGTAAACGACAGGGCTCCACACAGGAGTGGGAGTGCCTTGGTGCCTTAGGCCACAGCAGAAATGCAGGTGTCAGGCACAGGTGCACGACGGGAAAGGCCAAGCATTTCTCCGGCTTCATCCAAGCTTTGTGGGCACACCCTCCACCTAGGCAAGGGTAGGCGCTGGTTTGGGGAACAGTAACACCCACCCAGGCTGTGCATGGTAATCTTTCGATAGCTGTGAGGCAACCTGGTCAGTTTTCTTGTGCAGCATTTGGAACACCGCCCAGCCTTCGGGAAGCCAAACTGAATGAAGGCAGCAGAAGAAGCTCGGAAGCCACTGGAGGACACTGCTGTCATTTAGGGGACAGATGACAGTGTGTTCACAAAGGAATTAGGAAAACACAGCAAAGTAAAAGACTTAATTTCTCTCGAGTCTATCAATACTACCCCATACTTTCCAAGTCAATTATGTAGTGAAAATTTAACAGTAAATTGAATAGTTTCTACAAAAGCTTATCTCACCATGAACTATCTGAAAGGACTACTGTGAACAGCGTAACACATGAAAACAAGACAAGGTGCTAGGCCACAGAGAGGCCACAGAGAGACTGCTACCTAATTAAGATGACAAGTTGCCTTCTTTTGTTTTTGAAATGATTGCAAAGCCTCAAAGCAGAGGATGGAGACGTTTCAAATCTCACTGACATCGTCTACATCTTTGCTTTGATTTTTAGAAATGATTCCTGGCAGGCAGATAATGTTGTGACCCAATTACAGGGTATTTTGGAAGTAGTAGGCCCCTAAATGGCAGAGGAACTGGTAGGCGTCGAGGGAAGAGTTAGTTGCAAGCAGGCACTACCACCTGCCTCTAGATCCTGAATTTTACAGGAGGGGGGAGCACGACAATCAGGAAGGAATGCAACATCTTCCCTGACCTGCTTCCAGCTTTCTCACCATTCCCAAAATAGACAGAGCTAAGGAAAATCATAAATACAATTCTCAGCCCTCTAGGGGAAGGGCACAAATTTGGGTCTCTGGAAAACAAAGGATGAAAGGCACAGCTATTGAAAACCCTAGAATCAAGAGGTGAGAACAGAGGGAAAATGAAACCACTGGACACAAAAGAACTCAAGAAACACCAAAACAGTGGCCAGTTCTTACACCAAAGCACACCAAGGGGAGGTGTCACAAGCTTGGCTGCCCTGGATTCTCCAAACTCAAACTCTTTTGCTCAAAAGGCAAAATTCTTCTTCAGAACTAAAGACAGTAATGATGCTAAGGTCTTGCTTCATGCCAAGTATTGTTCTGAGCCTTTATCATGAATTAACTCATGAAATACAACTACCATATTTTACAGGCACCATTAGTATTCCTATTTACGGAGTAGGAAACCGAGACACTGTGTGATTCTGTTATCCAAGCAGAATCTTATGATTGCGGGTCATGCAGCTATTAATTGCAGAGCAAACCAAAGCTGTCTATCTCCCAACAGGACTACTCTGTGTGCGCACTGTGGGATGGTTAGCAGCGCCCCTGCTTGCTCTCTGTAGCTGTCAGCACTTCTCTCTCCAGAGTCAAGACAAAGTGTCTCCAGACATTTCCAAGTAAGCCCTGAAGAGCAAAGCTGCTTTCTTTCAGAGCCAGTGATATAGCAATTTGAAAACTAAATCCCTCCCTCACAGAAAGAGTAGCAAACCCCAACTGTTTGAGTAGAGGGAACAGGCTATAAGAATTCCTCCGAGTCAAGGAAGGACGGGAAAGGAGACGGCTGGAGAGGATTTTGCCCTTGAGTCAGTCACTATGACTCCTCTTCAGGAAGCCTCCCTGCTCTTGCAGAGTGAGGTCAGCTCCCTTCCCTCCACTCTCAGAAGGTCTCAGCCACATGCCTCTACTGCAGCTCCATCATATTCCTCTGTCTTCCTGGGCATGACACAGTGCCTGATATAAACTATGTACTCAATAAACATTTGCTGAAAAAAGAACGAACAAATGAGGCTGAGGTTCATGAGTGTCATCAAATGAATGTCTCTCTTCACTAATAAACTGAAAAAGGCTTAAATAAAACTTGGTTCCGGGGGAAAGGAAAGGGGTTCTGCTCAGATGACTAGAAGATTGTGAGGCTGCCTAAGCACTTCCGATGGTATCTACACTCCCAAGTCCACTGAGAGTTTTCTGATTGTGTGTTAGCTCTGCCTACAAATTTAACTATAAAATGAATCAACTAAAAAAAAAAAAACCCACCTAACTCATGGTAAGGAAATTCTAACTTACTCACTTCTGCGCACAAACAGGACTGCCGGTAAATTGGTATATTCAATGCCACAGATCAGTTGACTTGTCCAACACAGAAAGCAACTGGAGAAACCAAGTAAGGATTAGAAGGTAAGAACAGAGCAAGCAGCAAAGAGTAAACAGGAGGCTCCCAGGGAGATGCCCCATCATCCAGCTTCGTAGGGTCCCCTCTCAGACCTAACACGGTGGCAGCCAGGAACAAGTGTCAGGCCAGCCATGGGACTGCTAGAGAGGCCCTGCAAGCCTCACCAGAAGCCTCCATCTCCCAACACTGCGTCACAATCAGCATGTGACAACTATCAGATTCCTCTGTTTTATGACATAAACACGCTAGACTAATCTGCTCAGAAAGATCCAACACAGCAATCCTTAGTTTCCAGCATTTTTGTAAATTTTATTTGGATCCCACAATTCAACCTGTGTTCAGATTAAAAATATACATCAGATCCATGATGTAGAGGACAGAGCTCCACCAACTAAATAGGAAAATTCAAGTTAAATGTCCATTTTGAAAATGGACAAAAAGAGAAATTTTCCCCAAATGCTGAGTGTAAAAAAATTCATGGAAATAACAAGGCTATCGGATCTGTTTAGGGCCTGGGCAAGTCTTTTAACTCTTCTGGGTTATGGTTTGTTTCCTCACCTACAAAAATGGGAAATTAAAGGTATTGATGTGCTTCTTTCCTGGTATCAGGCAAGCACACAGTTGGCCCTTAATTAATAAATATTATTTCTCCATCCTGCCAGTTGCCTGGCAACCCACAGTCTCCTCAGTATTGATGACAGTTTCTAGACAAGCACCACTGTTTTCTGTGCTACCTTAGTAAAAAGGTCCTCAGTTTTCTTATCTCTAAAATAGGAATAGTACCAGTTTATTTTTTGTAAGATTAAGTAGCACAATAATAAAGTTCTTACCACAAAGCCATAGCTGTACAATAATACCAAAATTATTATCAATGAGATAGATACAACTATGCTCAGATTTTTTAAGCATTATCAGAAAACACATTATTTACTTTCTTAAACTGTTAAAACTCCAATTCTTTTTTTTTTTTTACTTTCTCCCTTGTCCCCCAAACGCAACCAAAACTAAAAGTGAACAATGGCAATTTCATAGACAAACTATTCTTGAGCGTCCTCAGGCTAGTCCAGGCTCACACTGGAAGGCATGATATTGCCAAGGCCCAGACCACGCTAGCTATTACACAACACTTGGTTCTAGGGCTTTGAACACAACAGTATTTCCTAGAAACACAACTCTGAATTGCTAAAGCACATTGTTTTGGCAGAAAGAAGCCTGCTTACAAAGAAACAAATGCCAAGATAAGTCTCCAAGCCTCCTGCTGAAATCACATTTCAGTCACTTGCTTCTCTGCTCTCTCAGACCCTCGTTTTTCATCTTGGCACTTTTTTTGTCATCCTTAGGCCACAGTTCAAAAATATTCTTTCTTGGGGCACTTTTGAAATTAGTTCCTTTGCAGCTCTTGGGACTCTGAGTCACTCCCTATGACTCTACATTCCTGGGAGGCCCACGGATCCCAGCAGCCCACCCACAAGCTCCACACTCTGGCCTGAGCCCCAGCACTCAATCCGGCAGGCAGGCTCTCTACAGCTAAGGCCCAGATTCTAAGACTTACCAATTTCATGGACCATTAAGCTGCCAAGTGAAAATATTCCCATCACTTCATAAACGAGTCTTCCAAAACTCAGACAGGTATAATCTCATGGAAGAGGACACATCTTTGTATTTGAACTGTAATGAAATAGTCACTACATTATCATCATTATCACTGTAATAAAGACAATGCAAACTTCACCAGGCAATGGCCCCGAGGCCTAGCACTGTGCTTTTTTGCATAATTTTTATCTATGTGGAATTAATAGTTACTTCTTACACTATGTAGAAATTAAAATCTGATGTACAGGACAGCAATTTTGGAAACGTCACATTCTCTAACCCTGGCACTGCCAAACTTGCCTTCTGCAACAATGGCACTCCCCTTTACTCTGTGGAACTCTGAAAATTTCCTCCAATCTCATGCTCTGGAATATATACTTTTCCTTTTAGCTTAGTTCCAAAACTTGAGTTTTTTAGTTTTAAAAAAAAAAACTCTTCCCTCCATCCCAAGCATGCCTGAAGCACACTTGCCAGGAGAATGCTACCTCAAAAACTTCAGGTATTGCCTTGCAGACAAAATTTTACAACATCTTCAAAAGAGAAAAAGGACAAAAATGGTTAATTTCAGTTATAACCTGAAATTGTTTCAGATACAACCACTGTCCAGTTATTAACACACAATAAACAAGAACTCTAATCCATATACACATACCATACCATCCATTTTTCCCATGTTTTCTCAACTTTGCCTCTATGAATCTGTACATTTTATATATCAACAAATTATATAATGGGATTTTTTTCTGATTATAAAAATAATGTATGTCCATTACAGAAGGCTCTGACTCAAACATTATGGAAATCAATAATGTACAAAAGAGAAAGTCTCCTATGACTCCACTCCCAAAGACCTCCAAAGCCTTTTAACTGATCCAGGCTTCTTAGTTCTTGCCAAGTGACAATGAGTTGACCTCCACTCCCCAAATCATCATTTATCTATCCTTGCCCCTGTTTTATAGCTCTCATCTAGTATTTGGAGTTACTGGCCCACTCCTAACAGGGCTCCAGGAATCCCAGAGCCTAGTTATGATCAGAAGCACCAGTCACTGCCCACTAACTGTCAATTGTTTAAATAATTGTTAAATAACTGTCAATTGTTTAAACACGGTAAGAACTGCTACTCCTTACCTTATTCCTTAAAGGTTAATGAGGCTAAGTATTGTCAGCATCCATAAAGCAATGTGCACTGAAAACACTAAATAGGATTGGTTTCCTTTGCACTCTGCCCCATCATCATAGCCTAGGGGTAAGGGGCAGGAGTGGTGATCCCACCACTGATATCACACACAAGTCTCTCCTGCTACTTCAGCAGCCAAACAGGCACACACCCACCCAATTCAGCAATTTAGTTCAGATTAGCATTAAGTGACAATGATAATCTTATTCCAGAGACCAGGTGCTGCGCTTAGTCTCCCTCAGAAGATGCTCTAAAAGTGCCACCCAGGTATCTTGGCACATGCCTGTAATCTCAGCAGCACTCTGGGAGGCAGGAAGATACAAATGCAACCCCAGCCTCGCAACTTAGCAACTTTGTGAGCCCCTGTCTCAAAATAAAAAAATGCTACAGATGTAGCTCAACGTAAAGATCCGGAGTTCAATTCCCACTATGACAACACCCCCCAAGTTTCAAATGTCAAAAGTTTGAACCCAAATTTAAAAACTAGTCCATCTCCAGCCTACACTAGCAGGCCAATGGAAGTAATTTTATGACAACCAGTTTATAGCAAGTGAAAACTAAAAGGGTGACAGGAATTGGCCCAAAAAGGAAGAACACTGGCCAAAGCAGTAGTCATAGGATAGGATCAGGAAACACAAAATTCACCTAAGGCTCTAAATAAAGTACTCCCTCTCCAAATCGCTGCATCACAGATCTCTGGACTGGGACACAAAGGACCAGATAGAGACCCAAAGGGTACATGCTACTGTAACACTCTCACATTACAGATGGGGAAACTGAGGCCAGCAAAGTAAAGTGACTTTGCCAACATCACCCACTGAGTGAAAGGAATGAATGAGGGGCTGGGGATTTAGCTCAGCGGCATAAGCGCCTGCCTTGCAAGCAGACGGTTGTGAGTTCGATCCCTGGTACCAATAAAAAACAAAAAAGACCAAAAAAAAAAGGAATGAAGGAGGCAGGAAAACCCAGGAGGCAAGTCTTCGGAGCCTCTGGTGGGTGGTCTTTCCATCAAATCCCACCAGTCCCTTAATTATGCAGACTGTTACTGTCATCGCCACTTCAGCTGAAAGACACCATCATCACTTATCAACATGCAATATATGCACAAATAACACATTAAAAATTGAAAGGGTAATCTGGGTTTATTTTCCTTACATTTACTTTTATTTGCTAGTAGTACAACATTGCTGAAAATAAATGAACACAAAACAGTTTTAAAATATGATGGAAGCTTCTTAAAAACATTCAAATCATTTTGAAGACATGCTATTCCAATCAAATCTAATCCCAAATAACAAATCAAAGATGTTTTGCAAGAGAATGCTTACTGAATAAAAATGGAACTGTTACAGTTTGTGTCTAGATGTTCCCCCAAAGCCTCATGCATCAGGAAGACAGGCTTCTAGAGTTTCTGATTGGATTGATTCATGGTCCAATGCTGGGACTATGGGTGTGAGTGCTACACCTGCCCTGGGGCAGGCAGCCTATGTGTAAGGGAAGGAAAGAAGCTTGATTTCTTTCTCCTCCCTTTTTTGCTCTTGTTGGTTTTGCTGTTTTCCATAGCCATGAACTTCTGCCCCCTTGCCATGCCACCCTCCTCAGAGCCAGATGAGTATATGGGCTGAAACCACTACAAACTGTAAGCTAGATAAACTTTCCTCCTCTAACTTTGAATGTGGAGTGTTTTGTTCCAGCAATGACAGAAAAGTGACTAAGACAGGAATGCATTGAAAATATTTTCCTACCAGATAAACTTTAAGGTTAGATTTCTGTGGAATCAAAAGGTGTTAAGCCTTCAAAGCTGTGCTTGAGTAGGTAATATTTATGCAAAGATGCTGACAATATAAGGTAGTATATGTAAAAGCTTACTATCAGTCCTGACACATAATAAGCATTAAATGAATGCCAGTTTTCTTACCCAAGAGAAAGAAGTGCCATCCACATAACTAGTAATAGCTTACTGCAATAGTTTCCTAATAACAGTCTGTCATATACTCCTCAAAAACTGAAAAATGACGTATCACAGGGATATTGACCATCCCTGAAGTGTAATGGAAAAAAGCACAGACACATAATGTTTCATTTTCCTTAGACAATATATGAAGATATCCAGTAATGAGGGTATTCAACATAACACTATTCTTAATAACACTGTAAGACTTTCCAGCATTAATTCTTGCTGCAACAGGAAAAAGGAATTCCATGTTGGTTGTTTCTTTGGTGGCAAGAAAAGAAGTCATCATAAAGTTAAAACATAGAGTACAAAGTAACAGTTTCAAAATGCTATGTGTCTATCTGGGAGCAGTGGCACTGGCCTAGAATCCCAGCACATGGGCGGCTGAGGCAGAAAGACTGCTATGAGTTCGAGGCCAGCCTGGACTACAAAGGGTGTTCAAGGCCAGCCTGAACTGCACAGTGAAAGGCTGTCTCAAAAAGACCAAAAAAAAAATTTTTTTTAAATGCTGTGGGTCTGCATATATAGATCTATGTAATGTGTAAGTCTTTTTCCCAAATAATGTCATAGTCAGCATTCATATTACTCTAATTTAGAGTAAAATGCTACTCTGTTACATTTTAGCTCACCAAGATTTCAACTACCACTTTGCAAGTATCAGAAAGCAGGGTCCTTCTGGATCCTTTGAGGTGAATTATTCAGGTAAATGTATTCGTTTTAAGAAAGAATAAAACAGACATAAACTCCTTCCTATGAAAGGATCTCAACCTAAGAGTCCTTTCTCAGACTCTGTGCAACATGAAGGAACACAGTTATACTCTCAGTTATGAGGACTTTTTGGAGTTACCTAGCACATCCATGACAAAAGGTCAGCAATAGAAATCTGGCAATGGCGGTGTCCCCCTCCTGGAGAATGTCCCACAGTGCACTACTGCCACCTGTGCTCTCTTGTATTTCCCCCAGGATGGAAGATCCCCATTCTCATGACAAATGTCATCCTTTCACAAGGATGTCATTTCTAGGATTCTGCAAGTTCTGACAAACAACTGTTAAACAAATACCGCTTTCAAGCTACGAACTGAAAGATACCTAGGTTCATAATAGAATCCCCTTTCAACGGTGGTCGGTTAGCCCAGCACCACAAATTCAAATAGTCATTATCTTGGCCATCTGAGGACACGATTCAAAATATAAATCCTTGACAAGGTGGGGAAAAAAAGCAATGATTTAAGCCAGCAAAATGAAAACAGATCAGATGCCACTGTTTGTTCTTAAATTAGTGAAACATGAAAACAAATGACAAAACAATGCCAGCCTCACAAAGTTTACTCATTTCTTGGAATTCAGATGCCACTACTCATATCCTGTTAGGTGTTTTACTTAAGTCATCAGACACAACGTACAGCCAATGACCCAGGAGGTCCTCAGCACTGCCTTCTAAGATCCCAGTCCTATCCTACCTTCCTACATTGACCTACTTCTGTCTTGGTCCTCTATGACCGCTCAGTCCATCCAAAATCGCCGGTGACAAGCTCTAAACTGCGCAGAACTTGCCTCTAAAACTGTCCCAACTCAAGGTCTAATTTCTCAGGAATTTTTAATTCAAGTTCCACACTCTCCCGCAACCCTTCGACCCTGACCACGGGTTCCAGACCTCCCCGCGGACGCCTCGACCACCTTGCATTGTTTCTGTAGGACTCCGCATGCCTCCCTCCGTCCAATCTGTTTTCGTCGCGCAAATGTCATTCCTAGCGTCCGGCTCTCCGTTCCTCCCGCCAGGCAGCAGAGGGGCTTCCTGAACCCAGGGCCAGCTTTCCTGACTCTCCCCCTTCGCACAGCCATTTTCTAATTAAAATGCTTTCTCTGCCTACAAGGAGGGGGATGAACTTTTTTCCTTTTTATCTCTAGGCATGGAATCTCTGAAACCCCAAAGCAGCCAGCCCGGTCTCCAACTTGCCGGCAGGAGCGCGCAGCTGCCGGGGAGAGAGAGCCCAGCCGCACCGTGGAGGCCGGTGCCAGGGCCAGGGGGTGTGCACTCCTCGCCGCCCGCGCCCACCCTCGCCACCGCTCCGCAGTCCCCTCCCGGCGCTCGCCCGGCGACCCTGGCTTCCCCGCCCCAGGCCAAGCCAAGCCAAGCCCGGGCAGATGCGGGAGAGAGGGCGCCGGGAAGCAGGAGCGATGGAAGTCAAGGAGTGAGCCCGCAGTCGCCGCGCCACCGGCCCTGCAGCGCGGGCGCAGGGCGCACGGACTCCGCAGCGGGCGCCTGCTGCAGATGCGGCTGCGGCTAGGCGGACAGCAGTGACCGCGCAGCCCCGGCACCGGGTGGAGGAGAGCAGCGGCGGGGGGCACTCGTGGCCACTCGCCGCTGCGCTTTCTCCCTGGGTCGTCCCCCGAGTCCGCGGTCAGGGCCAAGAAGCAAGCGGGGCTCACCGGCAGTGCGCGCGGCGCTCGCCTCGCTCGGCTCCAGTCCTGCCCTCGCCGGCGCGCCCGGATCAGCTGCGGGAGCAGCGCGCGAGCTTCCTACTAGAGACCAGCACGGGCTCCGGCGACTGAGCATGCCCAGTGCCGCTCCGCGAGTCCCGCGCAGGGAGCGGCGCCGGCGAGATTCCGCCTCTCCAGGCTTTGGCGGCGGCTGCGCGAGGAGAGGCTGGAGGGGCCTGGCGAGCGGAGGCTGAGCGGAGCAAGGCGGGGCCGGGGGCGGGGGCCGGGCGGAGGGGGCGGGCCGCGCTCCCACGGCGACCCCTGCAGGTGGAGGCTGGGGGCCCGGCGGCGCGCACGCGCTCCAGGTCGCCGAGGAAAGCAGCGGGTGCCCGAGACCCAAAGTCCGCGATCGCGGTGCAGCCTGGCTGTTCCCTCCATGTGGCCTGGCTTCAGGCTGCATCAAAAGGCAGTTGGGTGACCTTATCCCTGATTTGCCTTTTCTCTTAAGTCTGTGATCCTTACAAAGGAAAAATGTCCCCAGATGAGAGCTGCCCACACCCACCCAGGCTAGTGAAAGTTAGTGGGCCAGACCCACTCCTTTCGGTCTTCAGACCCCTTCCCCTGAGGGCTGTACTCCCTCCCCTCCCCGCCTCCAGTCACGCGCCACTCCCTCTCAAAATCACAGCAAGAGACGCACACCTGCAGAAAGGAAACACATAATTTCCTTTCCATTCCCCGTAGTTTATCTATAGCCCGATTTGTGCACCAGCGAGCAAGGTCCTGATAAGAGTAAATGCTCAGTAAGTGGCAAGCAGTACTCTGCCCCACGCTCTGTGAATGACGTCCCTGAAGATATGGAGGTTGCACTTTTCCAAAACAGCAATCATCAAACTGGAGCCTGGTTCATACCCTCCAGAGGGCTCGCTAAACAGACCGCCCGCGGGGTTCCCTTTCGTGTGGTGGAGCAGGAGCAACTGTATATGTATATGTAACAACTGTATATGTAACAAGATCAGAGGGCATTCTGATGCTGCCGGTCCAAAGAGTGCACCTTGTGAACCCTGTGTGTACACTGGCAGCTCTACCTACCATCTCTTTAGGAAAGATAATCCTAAAGTAAAGGAATTGTAACCACAAAATAACAGCTCTTCGTATTCTCTTACCCAAATCTCCAGAATGCACTTTCCTCAAATAATGAATTCATCCCCATTCTTTCTTGTTCATGTATGACTCTATGCAGTGGAAATGCACATTATTTGATTTCTTCATACGTCATGAATTTATTAAGGATCTGCAAGGTCCTGTACTAGGCCTTAGGATAGAAGTGGATTAAAGTGTCATGGCCTAGCACGGAAACAGGTAGCCATCATAGTCAGCAGTTAACTCTTACCATGAAACAAGTGTGCAAGGTGCTAATTGGTAAAGGGGGGGGGCGATGCAGATTTGGAGCAGGGTTGCTGGACATGCGGGAAGCTTCCTCGCAGAAAAGGGATTTCTGGCTTTTGCATTCCCTAACTTCGTTTATGAACCATTATTTCCCACAGACCCAGCTCTAGGCCTTTTACGACAGAAAAATCTGTAAATCAACGAAAATGCTTGCTTGAGGCAGAGTCCCTGCCCCCAGGACTAGCCTAATGGGTCTGTGGAGCAGGACAGTCGATGGTCACAGTTTAAGTAGCCACATGGGGAAAATATGGGCTCTCTTGGGGAAGCCTTGTGGGTCTGGGCTGCGTCCTTGAGACCCAGTGAATAAATTCGCCAAACACAACCCCGCAGTCATTAGAGACCCCCTGGCGCCCTTCCGGGCGAGTCCTCTTCCAGCGCAGTCCATTCCCTCGGACTCCACCACTCCCTTCGGTACCCAGCCCTGTCACCCCTTTCCTCGGGGATCCGAGACAGCGTGCAGCTGGCGACTAGTAGAAAAATCTGCCGCGGAGTGGGCGGCGGCGGGGCGGGGCGGGGCGCGGCGGGGCGGGGCGGACGACACGCGCAGGCGCACTGGACGCCAGGTTAGGCCGAGGCGGCGGGGGCTCCACACCTGATGCAATCCGCCTTCCGGAAACGCGCCGAGCCGCTGCGCGCGCCCGGGAAACGCTTCCGCGCCCGGCGCAGGCCGCGCGCACCTCGCCGCCTGCCAAGTTCTGGGTGCAGGCAATGCTCTGCGCTCCCCAGGGGTCGGGAGGTCACCTTCTGGACGTGCTGAGTCCCCGGGCTTCCCGCGTAGTGCTGCAGAAGGGGCCACGGAGCGTTGTGCAGCCGCTCAGCGATCGCCGAGCCGGGGCCAGGCTCTTCACCTCCCTCTGCTTCCTTCCTCCCTCCCTCCCGTCCCCCGTCAACCGCCTAGCCACATTTTCTTTCCCTGTCTCTAGCAGGAGCTTTTCTGGCATCGCAGTCTTGTGGCAGCGTGGAGAGGGCTCCCCAAACCCTCCGTCGTGCGGAATACGGAACCGCGCGATAGCTCTGCGGCCGAGAACCTTGCCCTGTGCAGTCCTCTTCAGATCAGTAATTGGTTCCTCTGTACCTCTCCATTGAAGTTTACAAAGAAAATCGCTTTTCATCTTCCTACCTCGTGCAATTTTGTTGTGTCGTGAGCTTTGTCCCTTAATGCTGACTCATTCAATGAATTGTTTTTTAAGAAAATTATTCCAAGAATAAAAGTGTATTTTGTAAAACATGGAAGTAGATGCTGTGAACAGCACATAAAAATTATTTCTGTGAGTCCCTTAAGGCCTAAGATCTTCTCTAAATGCTTGGGGCCTGGAGGAAGGGCCCAGATTCAAGAATTTGACTGGGAAGAACACTTAACGTGATCATTCCAGAATCAAGTCTAGATCTACTCCTAGATTTTACAAAGGACATTTGCCTCTCTGGGCCAGAGACATAAATAACTATTTAGACAAGTCAGGGACAGGACTGGCGCTGGAACCCTTATTTTTCTAAAGTAATGGGGACAACAGCACTAGACTGTATTAAAACTCTGGCTTTCAATCTAAATGTTACCATGTGCAAAGTTGGTGGCAACCAAAGGGATCTTATTACTTGTCTCTACTTGCGAAGTCACTAGTCTTTAATCTTTGATCAACAATCTATCAGACTGCTTCTAAGAATCTCAAACAAGGCATTATTTCAGTCAAAGTGGTATGAAGTTCTTCAAAACTATCAAGTGTCAAGAAATCTTTTGTGCCAGTACTTAAAGTCTCTAGTGTTTTTATTTGATCACCCGGTATATGAGCTGTTTGTGATTTAAGCAAGGGATTTTAATGATTACAACAAAAAAGAGAGGTCATGATTTGCTTTGGTCATGTTTTAAAATTACTTTATAGAAATCAAAGGGAAATACCAAAATACCTGCAAAGTTCACGCTTATAGTAAGATAATATCTTAAAAATAACTTCAGTACTTTATCTTTTTACTTTTATTTTTAAGGATTATTTTTAGGGATGTTCTGACATTTAGCAGTTTAGGAGGATACCTTCTACGTTAGCAAAAACAGAATCAAGTAAATGTCAAAACACAGAGGTGCAAAGTACAAACTCATCACAAAGTGCTGGTTATAGAATAGCTTAACTTTTATTGTTTAAGATGTGCCAGACACTGGCAAACTATTTCACTTAATCCTCACAACTCCCCTACTATTTTATTCCTGTTTTACCCACGGAGAAATGAGGTTTGAACACACAAAGTCACTAAAAGAAGACAGATTAGTGGCAGAACAGATTTGAACTTAGGCAGTTTGCCTGAAGTTTGGGGCCTTAACACTCTACACAGAAAAATAGATAGAAAATAAGTTAGCGGTGCTAACACTAGGGTCAAAATGTGTGTCTGAATTGCAGTGAAAGGTAGCTCATTCGAGGTCTTAGGCTTGGCAGTTGAGATTTTATCCTTAAGCAATGGGACATTACCAAGGGGTTTAAAGGAGAACAGTGACATCACTGGCATCTTATTTTAGAAGAATCACTCAGGCAGCAATGTGAGGGAAGGTTTGGATTAGGAGTAAAGGGTATCCCCAAGGTCAGCAGGATTGCAAAATAGTGCTTAAAAAGCCCAGGACAGTGGGAATGGGGACAATGGAGGGCCCTGATCTGATACGCATCCTCCAGGGGGAGGGTAAGGGGGGAGCAACTGGGCTTGATGACTAATTTGGGGCAGTAGTTAAAGAGGAAGGATTTCTAGTTTAGGAACCTGAGTAATGGGTGAGGTCATTAACTGAAATAAGGCTGGAAGGAATGAAATCATCCCACCCAAAGCCTACTAGAAGCTTTACAGATGGAAGCTTTTCATTTGCTCCTAAAGAACTCCATGATGGAAACACAAAGAGACCCATTATACAGGTTAAAAAAATGAGGTTCATGAAGGTTCATTATCTTGCCCAAACTCACACAGCTAGTGAGAGCTAGGACATAAAATAATGCTTTAACTGCAAACACCATATTCTTTCCATGGTAACAGTCCACACTTGGATATGAATTGTACTTTGAGAAAACAAGAATGAAGTTCAGGAGGAAGGGAGACACAGATATATGGTCCTCCCAGTAACAGTGCAGTTGGAGGAGACATTAAAGCCTTTACTATTGGTATAAACGATCAGAGCAACATGGTCTAATACAATTTTCTGCAATACTAGAAATGTTTTTATATTTGTTTTGTGCATTACAGTAGTCATTAATGAGCTTGTGGGTCTACTGAGCACATGAAATGTGGTTATCGTGACGAGGAACTAAAATGTTATTTCTGATTGATGTTAATTAATTTCAAATCAAGTAAGGATATGCAAGGAGTGGCTACTGCATCTGAGCATTTGGGACTAGAACAACCAGCCAGTCACAGAGTAGTCACTGAAGAAAACATCTCGAAACAAAGAATGCCCTTTCCTATCTGCTCTTTCTCACATGCTTCTCAGGCTGAAATAATATTCTTACATCTCCTTTAGCTAGAAAATCCTACCTAGCTTCTAAGATCGACTTTGGGTATTACCCTGTATATAAAAGCCCTTCACCTCCTTTAGAAAAGGGTGGTCATGAGCTCTCTGAGATCCATGGGTTTAGCAGCATTGTACAGATTTAAATTTCGGCTGTACCACTCTTCCACTAGCACCTTTGGACAATGACTTAACCTCTCCAGATCTCAGTTTTCTTCATCTGAAAAC